ATACTTATACATGGTTGTGTTTTATATTAGTTAAGCAAGCTCTGCAATCTTATTTTGGCCTGCTGAATTATAAATGAACTGTTTGCATTAGTTATTTAAAATTCCTCAAGCCATAATACAAGAGTAGTTTGTTTCTGTAATATAAATAAAATACAAATAAGTATTGGAATCAATTCTTGTACAGATTTATTATTATTGTTCTGCTACCATGTCTGAATCTAAGTTTGGTCATCTAGCGGCAGGTTTGCCTTTTAAATTTATGACAGCTCTGATTGGCCCAAATGACAATGGTACTGATCTAATGTTCAATATGGTCACACTGCAGCCATCTTATTATTGATATTCTTAATCAAGAAATCATATCAGGGTCTGGTTTATCCCAAATAAAAATGTTGCCTGCCATATGGCCAGTATGGTGGACAGTAGAGTTATGTCCCCTTGGAGGGACTCTTGTTAACTATGTGAGGACTGGTTATATATTCTTTGGAGGGATGGATTGTTACTAGTAAATAAAAATTGGCATTGTCTGTGGCTTACAAAAAGTTTGACTCCTATTTTTCAAATTGATATTTAGTTATGGATAATTTATAATATTCCATGAAACTAGTACATGTTGAAGTACTGCACAAAATACTTGAAGAAGATGTTTCTACATTAGGGCTCAAAATTAGCAGTAGTCCATTACCCCAAGGCTAGTAAAATTTCAGTGAGACTAGTACAGGTAGTTTCCATAAGGTTAATAGATAACAAGTTAAGTTTCACTTGCCTCCAGTCAGCATTTGTGGGAAGGACTAGTGCATATTCAGCAGGACTAGTAAATTTCTCACTCTGCAAGTCCTTCTGGACTCAAAGAAATTTATGTTCAATTCTAGGCCTGTGCATTATCATTATTTAGCCTTAACTTTGTTTGGGCATATTTTACTGGCAGATGGAACAATTTATACATAATTATAGTTTTCTCTGCAGCTAAGAAAATTGTTGCAAATTGTTTCATTGGCCATGTGGCAATATGATCCACATGGCAACTGGTCAGTGAATAAATTGTCTAACTATTCAATGTGAAAAATTGTAATGAAATACCTTAATCTAAAATGTAGGCTATCCAAATGACATTTAACCTCACTATTATTGTATGACTGAATGGTAAAGAGATGGATTGAGATAATATTAATTGCAATAAATAGCATGGGGTTTAGATACAATTGATTGACCATTCAATCACACAGTTAAAGTCCACCACTTGAGATGACATTACTGAAATGATATTATATACCTGCTACATGGATTAATTTTCCATGCCATTAAAACTGTATAAATCCTCAATCCATAAAATCAGAACTATATTTTGTCCGCATAGCTTTCATTAGGAAGATTTTTCTTCTTAAGACTTTGTAAATTTTTGCTCTTTAAAATTATAAGTAGCATATTTGTCTTTAATTATCTCTCCAATCTAAACAAAATTAAAAATTTATAAAAATATTCTTTAACAGAATATTACAATGATGCAATTTTAACTCACTGATCTAACCATTTATCAGAATAAATCACTTAGTTGATAAGACTTGTACAATTGTATCTTTAGCTCACTCATCAACCAATGTGTGTGTGTGTGTGTGTATGTGTGTGTGTGTGTTATGGATTTTTAAAAATAACTTTCTCATGCATGCCAGTTTTGCATGGCCTGCAAAATGATACACCCACATTGCAGTTTTCAAGGGACAAGAGAACAAATGCATACAACCCAGTTTTGTATAGCCTGCAAAATGATACACCCACATTGCAGTTTTCAAGGGACAAGAGAACAAATGCATACAACCCAGTTTTGTATAGCCTGCAAAATGATACACCCACATTGCAGTTTTCAAGGGACAAGAAAACAAATGCATACAACCCAGTTTTGTATAGCCTGCAAAATGATACACCCACATTGCAGTTTTCAAGGGACAAGAGAACAAATGCATACAACCCAGTTTTGTATAGCCTGCAAAATGATACACCCACATTGCAGTTTTCAAGGGACAAGAGAACAAATGCATACAACCCAGTTTTGTATAGCCTGCAAAATGATACACCCACATTGCAGTTTTCAAGGGACAAGAAAACAAATGCATACAACCCAGTTTTGTATAGCCTGCAAAATGATACACCCACATTGCAGTTTTCAAGGGACAAGAGAACAAATGCATACAACCCAGTTTTGTATAGCCTGCAAAATGATACACCCACATTGCAGTTTTCAAGGGACAAGAGAACAAATGCATACAACCCAGTTTTGTATAGCCTGCAAAATGATACACCCACATTGCAGTTTTCAAGGGACAAGAGAACAAATGCATACAACCCAGTTTTGTATAATCTGCAAAATGATACACCCACATTGCAGTTTTCAAGGGACAAGAGAACAAATGCATACAACCCAGTTTTGTATAGCCTGCAAAATGATACACCCACATTGCAGTTTTAAGTGACAGTGCAATTAATGCATACAACTCAATTTTGTATAAGCAGGATAATTATACACCCACAATGAAGTTTTAAGTGATGTAGATAAATTTATTGAAAACAGTGAAAGGTTTTTAAGTTATTAATACTGAATAAACTTGCAAGTCTGAAGGAAATAAAAAAAAACCTTTTGAAATATAGTTCTGGCATCATTTAAAATATATGACACCCAAAAAATGTTGATCACATAGACCCATTTTTTTTTAAATATAGCACTTGGTAATATATTACCCAGAATAAAATATTGGTTTAGTGGCAATATATAAATTTTGGTTTAGTGGCAATATATAAATATTGGTTTAGTGGCAATATATAAATATTGGTTTAGTGGCAATATATAAATATTGGTTTAGTGGCAATATGGAAAAGCTTATTGATAAATAATCTGCATGATGCTGAAACCAGCTGTTGCCAGTTGATAACTGATACACCTGTCAAAAAGAAACATGAATTCTGTTTCTGTGTGAGTGTGGGTGGGTGACAAAAATGTATTGATTGGCACATGTACAGTTGTATTTACATATACCTGACTGCAATAAGTCCATGGTATAGTGTGGATTAAAATGTCTTGCAGTGTTTTGATTTAACTAGAGTATAGTCTCATTGATATAACTGGAACCACAGTCATGTCTCATCAATCCAACGTTTGTATATCCAGTTTGACCGATGATTCCAGATATAACAAGTCTCTGTTAATACTGTATTGTCAGTCTTGTATATGCCTGTCATAAAACATGATTATTATGTCATCCATCTATCAATTCTATATTTTGCTTCTACACAACATTTGGAGTTCTCCACCATCAACCAATATCAAACTTTGAAAGTAGCTTCCACATGGCACAAGAAAGAAACCTATCATTATTTGGCTCAAAACGTCAAAGGTGATGATCCTAAGGAATGAAAGAGTGAAAGCTGTTTCCACACACTAACTTTACTTATATTACAAATACTTGACCAAACTTTTGTAAATATCTTGCATTTAAGATAATGAAAACAGATGTATATTTTAGTGTCTAAATATAAATGGTCAAGGTCACAGTGATTCTAAGAAAATAAAATAGCTTCTGAATGATAGGTTGAATTCTGTATTTTGACCACTTTGACCAACCATTATGAATGGCTTGCATTTGAGACAAGTTAGAAACTCAATGATTTTGTGGTTAAAAGGTCAAAGGTCAAGCTCAGAAGGACTCCAAGAAAGAAAATGGTTTCAAAAAAAATAACTTGAGTGTCCTATGTCACAAACAGTGATCTTACTTTTTGGATGGCTTACACCTATAAATTTTTTGATAAACAGGTCAAAGGTCAGGGTTGTAAAGAGAAAGAAAATCGGTTTTAGCAAAATAACTTAACATAACAAGAATATAACGTCATATTTAAATGACTTGTTAATACACATTCCATCTCGTGATGCTATGGTAAGAGGTATAGGACTGATATCCAGCCATGCTACTGTCTCTTTATATGCCTTGGATATGCTTTCACATTTAATGTTTGAAACACATTTGCTGCAACACTACATGTTTACAAGAGCTGAGATGAGATTGATGAGATTGATAAAAAGTAAATTCTGTATATAATTCTTCTTGAAATGGCACTGGATTGTCTTTGTACGTCATTGCTAATGTACAAACACTAGTTTCATTTTTGTTTTTAAATTTCAGTCAAAGTTTCCTTGAAATTTCATTTTAAAGAAGGCTCATGCAACTTTGATGACAAACAAATTTTGTACATATTTCCTTGATCTTTAGCCCTTGCTCTTCCTAGTACAAACTTTGCAAATCCATCACATTGGGAACACCCTAGCTTCAACATGTAAGCTTTTAACCAAACTTTGCTATGAACCTTTTCTCACCAAGAGCTCAGATGATTTTTGATGAGCACATTGTTCATATTTGTCTTAAGAGTTTTGGCACTTAATTATCTTAGCATAGGCATTGCTAATGCACTACCATGTGAACACTCTATTTTCTACATTTATTATTAAATTTTAACAAAATTTACTGTAAAGAGTTATCTCAATAAGAACTCAGATGAGATTGATGATGATCAGCATATTTCTTTGAGTTATGGCCCTTGATCTACCAGTTTGGTGTTGCACCATTATGGACATTCTAGTGTTGACATGAGTTTGAGTGAATTGATGAGAATGTTCTGTAAATAATTCTTTAAATCCTGGTCCTTGATCATCATAGCACTGGCCTCACTAATTCACACCCTTGAGAACACTCTAATGCCATCGTTTATTATAAGATTACAACCAAATTGGCTTTGAAGCTTTATGTCAGTAGAGGCTCAGACAGGTTCAATGATAAGCTCATTGTGCTTATATTTCTTTAAGTTGACACTTGATCAACTTGGCATGAACCTTGTTGATGCACAACAGGTGTAGAATGAGTTAGATGATTTGAACCTAATTTGATATGCAAGTTTATAAGGTCTTGGCTTTGATGATTATCAGAGTATGGACATGACCTACAGACTTATGGCAGGGAGCCATGTTAGTTCAGTTTGTAGAGCATGAGACTTGTAATCTAAATGTCATGGGTTAAATAACCGTCCATGTCAACTTTGGTAATCTACCTTTATGCACTCTTGGAGAAGGGACTTAACAGCATGGTATAACCAATCATATGTTGCAGTACCATTTAAAACCAGCCAGCCTATACAATGGTCATTGATGAACTTTAGTATGCATCCAAATGGAATGTGAATGCTCATTGTTCACATTTATTTTATTTGAACCAATTTTGCTTTGTAACTTAATGACTTTCATGATGGGTATAATTTTATAATTTTTCACAAAGTTACATCTTCACTAGCCAAGATTCTGATATTCCTATCTACACTTTGGCAACTAGATTTAATTTTAATTGGAATGATTAATAAGGAAATTAAATAATACATTCTGTACATGTGCACTTGTTCTTTTGACATTTTGACCTTGGATGTGGTCTCTGAAATAAGTTTGGATGTTTGTGATAGCTTCCATCTGTGTTTCAGATTTGTTTGTTTTGATTAAAGTTATTTATTTTTTCTTTTTAAGAATGTTATGTACACAAATTTATTGCTTTGTTTTTAATGTAAAAATGACTAATGATTATAAAATTAGTCCCATTTCATGTGCAATGACTATTAAATGTAGCTGATTGTGTTTTTTGTCAGTCAATTCTTCTATTTGATTAATTCTGTGGTCCACATTAAATATTTATGTTTTTCCCAGAGTTGGGATTCTTTTTAATGTGCTTGTAAAACTCAAGGAGAAAAATAAAATACATGAGGTTGTCATTTTTAAGCAGGAATAAATGAACATATCTCAAATAGATATTAAATTTTTAAAATTAGCCTATAAAATAATTATGCAGAAGCACAAGAATAATAATGTATTTTTTACAGGGGGATAATTTGGTTATTTGAGTTAGGGGCCCTTTGAAGCTCCCTGTAACACATCACTCACATCTCCATGTGGGTTGCCTAATATGGGTAATCGAGATAGCTTGCCAGTAGCTTTCTAAATGTCAGTGGTACTTTCCAGGGTCTTAGGTGGTGCCAACAAATATTCTGGACATATGTATAGCATATCATGTGCTGTACAATATTATTAAACCGAAAACAAATTGATTTCATCCCAGATAATCTCCCTTAAAGCCCACTACTATATAAAAGTCTACAAAGTATTGTCATCAAAAACAAGTCAAACGTTTACTCTTGATTATTCCTTTTCTCCCGATGGGCAGAGTTTTCTCAAATTTATTCTGACTTAGATAGGTCAGTTTTATACTTCGCAGTCACTCAATGAAAGAACAGCTGATTCATGATCTAAGCATTGAGGGTTCTATACTGCTCAGGCAAATTCTTCATACGTTTGATCATCTAATTTTGGGTAATAAATTTATTGTGCATTGAAATGTTATGAACTTTTATGTCCTAAAAAGTTTTAATAACCACTATACTAAGGTAGTGTTGTGAACCACTTCTTTACAGTAGGCAGAGAATCGAACAAATAATAAATAAGTGTGGGTTTGATACACATTGTGGCTAGCCCAGGTTGACTGTGTTGGTTTATCCATGGGAATAGCCGTTAGTTCCAATTTTTGGGGGGCATGTTATAGTCAAGAATGTGTTTTTAATAAAAGCTGCTTACATTTTTAAAAATCTAACATCATCATCTATTAACCTCTTTTGTCTGGATAAATTATATATGCAGGACAGCTTCTGACAGCTGCATTTGTTACATGCCACAACATGACAACATCTCTTTGTATGCCCATCAGTCTGTCTGTTCTGCACAATAACTCTATTTTCCCACTGTCTACTACTAGCCAAACTTTGTATTTAGAGTATGGACAAGGCATATGGATTTTGGAGTTACAAGTTTAAAAGTCTGTGACTGAAAGAAGAACTGTTTATTTAACATGTTTAGTAGTAAAATACTAAACTCAATTATATATTAGATACATGATTAAATACTCTAATATTTTCAGCAGATTTTACATGTAGTGGAAGCTTGTTCAGCAGAACTTATCAGAGTATTGGGAGCTCTTTTTAAATTGATCTGTTTTGGTTTTAGTTCTAGAAGGTTTCCATGTAATATTGATCTCAACTGGTATTGTGTTGAAAGAGACCTAAATAAGTCCTGAAGATACTCTGGTGAAGTTCCATGTAGACATTTATATAAATGAACTGCCTTGTGAAAATCTATCCTGTCATATATTGTGGACTATTCAAGTTCTGTAAACAATGCTTTTGAGGGATGATCAATAGATGCATCTAAAATTACCCATGCTGCTCACTTCTGAAGTTTGATAATCCTATCAAGCTCAGATTTAGCACAGTTTTCCCATACATTTGAACAATAATCCATTGTTGAAAGGATAAATTGCTTGTAGTATAGATTGCACATTTCCATAAAAATAAATATTTCTTGATTCTGTTGAGTAGGGCAATTTTGGATGACTTCATGGCATGATAATTAAATCTCCTTTATTTTAGCCATCTTCAACTAAGTCACCTGACTTAATATGACCCCTCATTCATAAAATTAACCCAAGCTTGATGATAACCACCTCTCATTAATGCTATTAGCCCATGCTTGATGATAACCACCCCATATCCATGTTACTAGCCCATGCTTGATGATAACCAACCCATATCCATGTTATTAACCCATGCTTGATGATAACCACCCCATATTTATGTTACTAGCCCATGCTTGATGATAACCAAACCATATCCATATTACTAGTCCATGCTTGATGATAACCACCCCATATTTATGTTACTAGCCCAAGTTTGATGATAACTACCCCATATTCATGTTACTAGCCCATGCTTGATGATAACCACCCCATATCCATGTTACTAGCCCATGCTTGATGATAACCACCCCATATCCATGTTACTAGTCAATGATTGATGATAACCACCCCATATCCATGTTACTAGCCCATGCTTGATGATAACCACCCCATATCCATGTTACTAACCCATGCTTGATGATAACCACCCCATATCCATGTTACTAGTCAATGTTTGATGATAACCACCCCATATTTATGTTACTAGCCCATGCTTGATGATAACCACCCCATATTCATGTTACTAGCCCATGCTTGATGATAACCACCCCATATTTATGTTACTAACCCATGCTTGATGATAACCACCACATATTCATGTTACTAGCCCATGCTTGATGATAACCACTCCATATTCATGTTACTAGCCCATGCTTGATGATAACCAAACCATATCCATGTTATTAGCCCATACATGATGATAACCACCTCTCATTAATGCTATTAGCCCATGCTTGATGATAACCATCCCATATCCATGTTACTAGCCCATGCTTGATAATAACCAACCCATATCCATATTATTAACCCATGCTTGATGATAACCACCCCATATCCATGTTACTAACCCATGCTTGATGATAACCACCCCATATTTATGTTACTAGCCCATGCTTGATGATAACCACCCCATATCCATGTTACTAGTCCATGCTTGATGATAACCACCCCATATTTATGTTACTAGCCCAAGTTTGATGATAACTACCCCATATTCATGTTACTAGCCCATGCTTGATGATAACCACCCCATATTTATGTTACTAACCCATGCTTGATGATGACCACCACATATTCATGTCACTAGCCCATGCTTGATGATAACCAAACCATATCCATATTACTAGTCCATGCTTGGTGATAACCACCCCATATTTATGTTACTAGCCCATGCTTGATAATATCCAAACCATATCCATGTTATTAGCCCATACATGATGATAACCAACCATATTCATGTTACTAGCCCATGCATGATGATAACCACCCCATATTCATATTACTAGCCCATGCTTGATGATAACCACCCCATATCCATGTTACTAGCCCATGCTTGCTGATAACCACCACATATTTATGTTACTAGCCCATACATGATGATAACCAACCATATTCATGTTACTAGCCCTTGCTTGATGATAAATACACAAATATTCATGTTACTAGCCCATGCATGATGTTAACCACCCATATCCATGTTACTAGCCCATGCTTGATGCTAACCACCCCATATCCATGTTACTAGCCCATGCTTGATGATAAATACCTAAATATTCATGTTACTAGCCCATGCATGATGATAACCACCCCTCATTAATCCTGTTAGCCCATGCATAATGATAACCACCCCATATTCATGTTACTAGCCCATGATTGATGATAACCACCCCACATTAATGCTATTAGCCCATGCTTGATGATAACCATTCTATATTCATGTTACTACCCATTCATAATGATAACCACCCCATATTCATGTTACTAGCCCATGCTTGATGATAACCACCACATATTCATGTTACTAGCCCATGCATGATGATAACCACCCCATATTCATGTTACTAGCCCATGCTTGATGCTAACCACCCAATATTCATGTTACTAGCCCATGCTTGATGATAACCACCCCATATTCATGTTACTAGCCCATGCTTGATGCTAACCACCCAATATTTATGTTACTAGCCCATGCTTGATGATAACCACCCTTCATTAATCCTGTTAGCTCATGCTTGATGATAACCACCCCTCATTAATCCTGTTAGCCCATGCATGAAGATAACTACCCTATATTGATGTTACTAGCCCATGCTTGATGATAACCAAACCATATCCATGTTATTAGCCCATGCTTGATGATAACCACCCCATATTTATGTTACTAGCCCATGCTTGATGATAACCACCCCATATTTATGTTACTAACCCATGCTTGATGATAACCAAACCATATCCATGTTATTAGCCCATTAATGATGATAACCACCCCATATTCATGTTACTAGCCCATGCTTGATGATAACCACCCCATATTCATGTTACTAGCCCATGCTTGATGATAACCACCCCATATCCATGTTACTAGCCCATGCTTGATGATAACCATCTCTTATTCATGATATTAGCCCATGTTTGATCAACAGATAACCAATCCCTCAATGATGACTTTAACTCAACACACGATTATCTCTCATTGGTGATATTGGCTAG